GAATATCAGGTCAGTAGAAGCCTCCCTGGGTTTAGCTTTCTGGTTTTTGTTAGAGGAGTCTTTGTTACTGCTGCTTCTCGAATTTAAATGCTCCTCAGAATCGCTTGGAGAGCTTTTAACAGGGATTGCCGGGTCCACCTGAGGGTTTCTGATTCATTGGGTCTCAGATGAGGCCCATACATTTGCATTTTTAACAAGTTCCCAGGTGATGGTGATGCGGTTGCTTCAGGAACCACACTTTGGGCACCACTGGTCTACCTCATCAGTCTATATTACTAGTGTAGTCTTGAGGAGTCCAGGCGGTTAACAGATACCTGTGTTTCTCTCGAAGCAGCCTCACTGGTGGCATATTTACATAAGACTCATCAGATAGGGTTGTCTGTCTGTATCTGAGGATCATTTTTCTGAATATAGAGGAAGGACATAAATTCACCTATGCTCTTGGCCGAAATTGAGATTAGAAGAACAGGAGGGCACCATAATATTTTTGAACCTCTACTTTGCTTTGTGTGTTCCTCATATGCTGTTGTGTTTAATCTAAATGCTCATTCCCTTGAGAATGTAGGTGAGTTGCCTGTGGGTGTCCAGTTAGCTAACTGGTGATAGAGCTAGGCCAACGTATCCATATACTGTACAGTGATAACTAAGCCAGGGGGATGCAAAAGAACCTTTAGGCTTCTCCACATACATTTATCAACTCGTTTTAATAAATGAATTTATATGTGTGTATATATATATAAAAACATGGACCAAGAGCCCCAGATTCCTGGAAGTCTGAATATTAAGTGGGCCAACCATGATGCCTTGGTTGTGACTTGACTATTTATCCTCCTTGCCTATGAAAGGCAAGCCCTTTTGTTCTGACTTGTCTTTCCCAATGTATTTCAGGTTCTTTCATGGTGGACACCCTCAGAAAGATTTTGACAGGAAGCATGTGAAATAGGTCAGCATTTCTAAAGCCGTGTCTTGATTTTGTTCAGGGTAAAAGATAGGCAAAGACTTAGCTAAAGGTTTTATTCTGAAATAGGGTATTCCAGTTCCTGGGTTAGTTGAGGAGAGCTCGTTTGATACCGTGTAAGAGGAATAATGTTCTGTGAATGGGCCATGCACGCCATCGAAACGCAGCTCATGTTACACATTGCTTCTGTGGGTTAAACCCTAAGTGCTCCACCAAGGAGGTTGGAAGGACATCTGTATGTACAGTGAGCCCCCAGTCATATTGTCCTGGAGAGCCATCACGTTCCCAACCAATTGCAGGCTCTTCTTTGATTTACTGAAGAAGGAAATGGAAGGGACAGGAAGAAATCCAGACCAGTTGGCAGCTTCCTTGCATGTTTTTTAAAATGGGACACAGGGATGGGCAGACTCCTTAAAAGGTAAGAATTTGTAGGAAGCAGGTAGATTTTTCTGGTGCGTAATCTCTTTCATTTGTTTCGTATCATTTTGAAGCACTCTCATTTATACTATTTAATCTGGAAGTGCCCTGTGAAGTGGCTGGGTAGGCAAAGTGATTTTTATACCCCTTTGTACATGGGGTGAGTGAGGTCAGTGAGGATATGTCACTTACCCAAGGTCACACAGCTGATGATTTGCAGATATGGGACTCAAACGTACATCTTTTCCATAGTTTCTCTTTGGTTCTGGTGTCTTTTCCATTTCACCATGTTGGAAAATGCCCTGAAAGGGGCAGAAATGCAGGTGCATGCGTGCGTGCGTGTGTGTGTGAACGTGTGTGTGGGTTGGATGGGGAAGAGGAGAAACGAGGTCTAGAGAAGAAAAAAGATATTAACTAAAATTCAGGCTGTCGGGCTCTGCATGAGAGTGTACAGAGCAGAAATCCCCACCTAAGTAAGGCTAGTTAGTTACCCATGGTCGAGTGAGAGGTCAGAGTTTTTACAAAGGCTGGGAGGGGATTGGGTGGGACCACGGGCAAATACATAAGAGCAGAAAGCTTTGCCAGTAAAGGACAGAGCAGCTGGGGATTGGCATCAGGAGGCTAATGGAATAGAATAAGAAATTGCTCTTTTGGAGGAGGTAGAATCTCCAAATTTGAGGGAACTAATAAGCAGGTAGATTTTGGGTGATGCATCCTTGCCACCTGTGGCTATTCAGCCTGGATTGCTAATCCAGACAAGCCCCTCTGAAGAGGAAAACAGCTTCTCCCCTGCTCTGGGGAGTGTGGATAAGAGGAGAAGTGCCAGTAAAGTTTGGGTTATGATCTGCTGTTTGGGGAATGACTATGCTGCCATTCAAACCAACTTACGCTAAGATAGGGGATGATCTGTTTCATAGGACTAAAAATCCAGGTAGGGCTGGTTTCAGGCATAGCCTGAACCAATGGCTTAAATGAGGTTCACAAGGCCCTCTGTTTTCCTCAGTTTCTCTGCTCTGCCTTCCACAAAGTTGGCTTCATTCACGAGGGAGCCCTTGGCAGGACTGGGTTCTCCCCCTCACATTTGTAAAATGGTTGCAGCTGTTCCAGACCTCACACCATCATCCCACACTGTTCAAGGAAAGACCCAATAGCTACTGGAGAAGCGTAAGGAAGCAACTGTCACAAAGAAGCCCCAGCAAACATCTTCTTGGCTCTCATTGTTTATGTGCCCACTGGCTTGGACAAAAAGACCCATCTGTGGAGCCGGGGGGCGGCCAACTCCACCCAAATGGCATAGTTAAAATGGGGACGCAGTAGCTTTTGGAAGGAAATTTAAGGGCACTTTGGCCAGAAAGAAGGAGAATCCAGGCTGGGTGGGAAACCACAGAAGTCTTCCATACCAACCAAAGGAATAAGGGGATGAAATAATTCCAGATAGATTTCCTTGGGGGATTCTTTGAGGGAGGGAGTAACTCTTAGCACATGTATTAGTTAAGAGAATAGGCTAAGATAAAAGAAGAGGCATAATAATCATGTGACTTAAAGAACAAAAGGATTTATTTCCCTCTCACATAATAGTGGTCTAGCGGCTTTGCTTCACACTGTTATGCTTGGTCCCATCTTTCTTCCTCATGTCCTGTGCCATCTCTTAGGTCTGGGTTGCCTTGGGTTTCAACAACAGAAAGTGGGGAAAGAAAGTGTGGAGGAAGCAGCCTGCTGTTCTAGGGGTTCTGGGCCATAAGTGGTATGCACTGCTCCCTCTCACACTCTGTTGATGAGAACTTGGTCCACGGCCCGTGTAACTGCAGGGGCTGCCAGGAAATGTGGTCCCTAGCAAGGTGACTAGTGACTGGCTTCCACTCTGTGATTATGGAAGAAGGTGAGAAGGAATTTTGGTGAGGAGTTGGCAGTTTCCATCACAGTGCCCAAACTAGCTTTCGCAGGAGGCTTAGCCGTCCCGAACGATGTTCCTGTGGCACATAGTAGCCCTTCCTCAGAGAAGAATCTTCCTCTAGTCCCTTCATTTTGGGAACCACAAATGCTTAAAAGGAGCTATCTCAGTTAGAGTTCGGTTCAGGTATATATGACAGAAAACCTATCACAGCAGTGACCTATTTTCTTCTCTCCTGTAAAAGACATTTATGGTATTAATGATGTGTTAATGGTGTCCGGGACTCTTTTTGTCCCATTGTTCTGCCATCTCAGCGTTTGGTTTCTTCCTCATAGTCCCAAGATGACTGTCTGAACTCCAGCCATCTCTTCACATTCCCTCTGGCAAAAGGAGGAGGAAAGGCCTCCAAGGATATTTCCCAGAAGTCACACACAGCACTTCTGTGGACGCCCCACGGGTCAGAACTGAATCACACGGGGCACCTAGCTGCGAGGGAGGCTGAGGAACATAGCCTGCCTTCTGGGCATTTATGAGCCTAGCACCAAACTGGGGGCTTCTCATGCTGAGGAGGAAGGGGAGAATGGACCTTGAGCAACAGTAAGCAGTCTCTGCGAGAGACCACGTGCCCCCATGTCCTCACTAGCTGCCCTCACCTCTTCCTCTGAGTGTGTGTGTGTGTGTGTGTGTATGTATGTGTTTCTCTGCCCATGTTAAATTCTTTTTTTTTTTTAAGATTTTGTTTATTTAATTGACAGAGACACAGCGAGAGAGGGAACACAGGGCTCGATCCCAAGACCCTGGCATCATGACCTGAGCTAAAGGCAGACGCTTAATGACTGAGCCACCCAGGCGCCCCTGCCCATGTTAGATTCTAAAACCCATCTTCATATTGATCTGAAGGAAAGAAATCACCATAAGAGCTGACATGTACTGAGTGCATACCAGGTGTGAAACGTGATCTATATTACTTTCTCTTCACGAAAGTGCTCTCCAAGTGCTTTACCCAGGAGAGTTCAGCATGGGACTATTTACAGAGGTGTGGGCAGAGTAGAGAGAACCAAAAGGGCTTCCTGGAGTACCCAGAGTTTAGCAACGGCAGGAAATCATAACCACACCTGAAAGGGCAAGGGGACAAACTAGTGTCACCAATCAGCCTGACTAGAGCTTTGAGACATAGAAAAGAGACTGCCTGTCAGGAGGTAGAACTGTAGAATGAAGCCAAGCCAGCATCCCTGTGAGCCTGGGCCAGAATGGCCCCAGGAGGCTGATACGTACCTGACCTGTCTCTCCTCCCACCTTGGATCTCCTAATAGCATCCCACTTGGGCTGAGGCCAACTGGAAGGCAGAGAGCAAGGGCCCCAGGGAAAATGGTCCACAGAAAGCAGCTCCTTGGGGAACACAGCAAGGCAGAGAAGGGCAGAAAATGGATTGAGAGATTGGGAGAGCAGCAGAGAACAGCCCGCACAGTATTAGGACTCCTTTTTTCAGGTAGGGAAACTGAGGCATAGAGAAGCTAAGTCACTTGTCCAGCTGGTAAGCAACAGAGGCAGGATTCTGCTAGCTTTGGATGTGTCCTGAAGGGGAAGGCTGAGCCCACAGCACGTTTGCCTTTCCTGTCTGTCTGCACACTACTCTGCACACAGTAGGCGTCTGATAAATGGTCAGTGAATGAAATCATGGGGAGAGGCATATTTTGGTGTAGGAGTAAGTGTTTCCTCCTCCTGTCATTGCAGGTTGCTGTCCCAAACCTCAGCGAGGCCGTGCAGGATGCAGACCTGCTGGTGTTTGTCATTCCCCACCAGTTCATTAACAGAATCTGTGACGAGATCACCGGGAGAGTGCCCAAGGAAGCGCTGGGAATCACCCTCATCAAGGTAACTGGCCAGTGACTCCAGGCAGAAAAAGCATCGCTGGGCTGGACGTCAGTTATGGGGGAGATTTATTTCCTCTCACTTCCATCTGTTAGAAATAGGAGCGGAAAGGGAGGTTATGGCAGTTTTTTTGTTTTCTGGGTTTTTTAAAGATGGCTGGAAGGTAATCAGTAACACACATCACAGGAGCTCAGGAGCTCAGCTGAGCCCCACTTCAAGCGAGGGCTGCTTTCTATCACAGTGGCTTTGAGCAGTGGCAGTGATGTGAGGATGGGCTCCTCCTGACGAGCCTTGCTGTCAGAAAGAACCTGTCCAGGACGTGGGTCTCAGCCTGCGTTCTGGAAATCACCGGTGGTTTGTGTTGCTGGGAATCGCATCCTTGTTAGTTTCCACTCCTGGGTATACTCCCTAAAGGGAGTTTTTAACCAGAAGTCCACAAACCACCCCCATAGGTCCCTAGAAAGAATTCAGGAGGTTTCTGGGCCTAAATGTGGGGAGAAAAATTACATTTTTATTCATTTTAACTTCTAACTGAAATGAGCATTGCTCTCATGTATGAATGCCAGCCACAGGCCAGACTTGCCATAACAGTAGGGATGGCAGAACAAGTGGCCCTGTTATCAATAGAAATACCAGGTATTTTCATGCCACTTTGTAATGGCTCCAGGTTATCTGAAGGTTATCATTTATGCTGATCATGACCTTGAAATTATGGTAATTGTTAAACCTGCCAAATCATCTTTTTCTAATTGCATTAATAAAACAGCAAGTATATTACTTTGTCATAAATTTGTGTGGTTTTTTAAAACATTTTGATAACTGTTTCAATGTAATCAGCTTCCTGGGTAATCTCATGCAGTTTGCTTTACGCATATGAAATTCTGAGAATGAGTCCATAAAACTTCACCAGACTTCCCTGTGTGAGGGCCACATCATAAAAAAGGTTAAGAACACCCTCGAGAGACTTTGTTCTCTCGAGTGGTTCATAGATGAATGTTTATGAAAGCAAACTTGAACAACTTACATGTCAGTTATAAGTACAATGGATAAATGAGTAGTGGCCTTTCATTTTTTGAATACAACACAGTGGTAAATAGAAACACACCAGAACATTCATGCAGCCACATGGGTGAGTCTCTAAAATGATAGGGTATGGAGGGGGGTGGGAGGGATGGGGTGATAGACATTGGGGAGGGTATGTGCTATGGTGAGCGCTGTGAAGTGTGCAAGACTGTTGAATCACAGATCTGTACTTCTGAAACAAATACATTATATGTTAAAAAAAAAAAGATAGCAGGAGGGGAAGAATAAGGGGGGGAAATCAGAAGGGGAGACGAACCATGAGAGACTATGGACTCTGAAAAACAAACTGAGGGTTCTAGAGGGGAGGGGGTGGGGGGATGGGTTAGCCTGGTGATGGGTATTAAAGAGGGCACGTTCTGCGTGGAGCACTGGGTGTTATGCACAAACAACGAATCATGGAACACTACATCAAAAACTAATGATGTAATGTATGGGGATTATCATAACATAATAAAAAATAAAATGATAGGGTAGCACCAAACAGTACCTCATGGGTGAATGGTACAATTTCACTTACAGGCTTTCAAAAGCAGGCATAATGGCATAACATCTTGTTTAGGGATAGCTTTATGTGGCAAAATGGTCAAGAACAGAAGGGAGCGGTGCGTACAGCCTACAGGATAGTGGTTCACCCTGGTTGGGGTGCGGACCAGTAGTGAGAAGGAAGACAGACTTGGGGAGGGACATACGGGGCTTCAGTGGTATAGGTCATGTTGTGGGTGGACTTCAGTCTCTTCCGTTTTATTGTTACGCTTTCAACAGTGAAGATATGGTATGTATGTTACTCTTGTAAGAGCTCTTTTTCAAGTAACAAAGCGACCATGGCATGCCTTTTTCACTTGGTGGTTTGATTTCCCCTAACTGTTGACATCCTTACAGGGCATAGATGAGGGTCCTGAGGGGTTGAAGCTCATTTCCGACATCATCCGGGAGAAGATGGGCATTGACGTCAGCGTGCTCATGGGAGCCAACATTGCCAGTGAAGTGGCTGCAGAGAAGTTTTGTGAGACCACCATCGGTGAGGTTGGCTGGGTGGGGAGCCTTGGGAGCCCAGACATTCAGTGTTTTAAAAGTACATTTGCCATTTCTGGTATCTTTTGTAGTGGACTCTTCCTCAGGTAGATATTCAGTGGGGTGGGGATTTAATGTAAGGAGGTCATCGTGTGGGACTAAAGTGTTTCAACAGCCTCCAGAATCAAAGTAAAGGCAAGGAGACCATTTGGTCTGAGCTGATAATGAATTATCAAGGTTAAACACAAAAAATGCAAAGTGGCTTATACTGAGAAGCAGGTGATGACATCCATGGAGGGGCTGCCCTGGCCTTAGAAAACCCAGATTTTTTTTTTTCTTTTTACTCACAAATGGCAGTATCTGGATCCTCATTGGATTCCAGTGCTATCTAAAAATTGGTGGGAACGTGCTTGCTTTGGCAGCACATATACTAAAAATTGGAATGATAAAAATTGGTGGGAATGACCCCTGTTTTCAGGTGAATAATCCAAAACTCAATGAATAAGTTACCTGCCCCAAGGTCACATAGCCAATTTAGAACTCAGGCATGAACTTGGCCATCTTGTTTCCTAAATTAGAAAGCTCTTTCTACTCTTTCTTACACAACATTGGTATTGTGAAGATTTCCGCTTCTTTTAAAAAGGGCTTTGAAATGCTCATGTGCTCATGGACCGTATTAAAATACTGATAGAAAAGTAATATTGCTATATTTGCACATGCTTTGCAAAAGTTTGAGTTTATTTACCACTCCAGAACTTACTTCCCTTGTCAAACATAGCAACAGTGTGCATGATTTCTCCTTGCAGCTTTGTAAAAGGAAGCTCTAAGAGAAGTCAGGCTCTTTTCAGGAAGATAGAATGCGTGGGAAAAGGTAGCTCCTTTCATACACGCCTGCAAGTTGGGACATTTTTACTTCTTTTGCTTATTCCTCTTTCACTTTTAATTGCATAGATATTGTGGAAAATAGGGATGATCAGAAGAAAACCATTTCTTACATTTCATTTCCATTTTTTTCTATGTGTGCAAACTATTAATTTACATTTATATAAGTTATGTACTGTTTTATAATTGCTTTATTTACTTAATATGTGACAACTTTCAAAGTCTGTCAGCATTCATCTTCATAGCTGGATAGTATTCCATCAACAATCCCATATATCTGGGCACTTAAAACTTTTTTTGTTTTGTTTTGAGAAATACTATCTGTGGAGAACAGCGGTATCACAAATAATGAAGAAAACAAAATGGACTGTAGTCAACCCAGGTTGATATTTATAAAAATGATATATAGAGGCACAGGTAAGAAAATTCAAACAGTATGAGAAAGTGTGAAATTAGAATTAAGATTGTGATTTCTCGAGCTTGGGAAGATGGTGGAGCAGGAGGACCCTGAGCTCATCCCGTCCCACATGTACAACCAGATACCATCCACATCCAAGTCAATAAACTTGAGAGGGATCCAAAGATGGGCAGAACGAACTTCACAGCGAAATAGAAGAAGCTGCATCTGACAGATTAGGAAGGTCAGAAAGGTGGAGGGAGGCTGCCCACAGGAGGGAGGGAGCTGTGTGCATGAAGAGGGCAGAGAAAATGAGCCGTCATGTCAGGGAGCTCACATGGAAGCACTAATCCCCATAACATCTGGCTTTAAGAACCAGAGGGGCTGAATCCCGTGAGTTTGTAAAAACAAGTGAGACTTGAACCTGGAACTTTGGAGGTCAGCTGACTCAGCACTGGGCGAGCCTGGAGGGTGAGTGATAGCTGGGTTGCTACCCTTAAAGAGACAGCAGCCTGAGCGGAGAGGCAACGTAAAAATAGCAGTTTACACAATGCTGGGGGCAAACAGGAGACAGATCTGATCATACTAATTTTGGAGCATGTTGGGGGACTTCTCTGAAAATGAGGGCTCTGACAGGTGCCATTTTTCGCTTCCACCCCCAGCATAAACACAGAGCCACAGGTGAAAGGCAGGGCTGCACAGATACTTGGAGCCTCTGCCCCAGGGCTCAGGGCAAATTAAAGTGTGTGCCCTGCCCAGCCACCGGGCACACAGCTGTCTCCTCGCGTAGCCCCCAGCCACCACATCATGCTCAGCTGCATGCCCCCAGCTACCATCACACACCATGCGATGTGCCCCCAGCCACCATTACACACTGGGCCCAGCTACACCCAACCATCATCACATGCTTTGCCCAGCCCCATGCCCCCGGCCACCCCTGTGGGCAGCTCCCAGCCACGGTGGCACTTTGGGGGATCTGGCATAGGATTAGAGATGCAACACAAATTTTGCTAACACCACCACCCCACTCCCAAGTTCCCCAGTGGGTATGTCCCCTCAGAGCTGGCCTGACTGGGTCCCACTAACACCAGAGAGAGCAAGCACAGCCCACAAAGGCAGAGAATCAGTGCCGACAACTGCACTGAAAGGAAAAGTGACTCAGACATGACAGTAGGACATGAGCAACACACACAGGATGCTCTCCTGGAGTGCCAGGTTCTGGTGAACAGGAGATAACGCACTGCAGGGACTCCTCTGCATAAAGTCACTGCATGCAAGAGAGAAGACACAGCTGACTTTCTTCACGCACACAGACAGAGAGAGGCAGACAAACTGAGGAGACAGAAAAATGAAATGAAAATGAAAGAAGAGGACAAGGCCACGGCCAGAGATCTAAGCAAAAGAGTACAAGTAACTTGCCTGATAGATAATTTAAAGCAGTGATCATAAGGATCCTCACTGGACTTGAGAAGAGTGGAAGACATGAATGAAATGCTTAATGCAGTGATAAGGAATAACATAGCAGAGATAAAGGGCTCAGTAAATGAAATGGGAAACATGCCTGATGGAATGAGCAGCAGCAGGATGGAAGAAACAGAGGAACAAATTAGTGACCTGGAAATGGAAAGTATTCAAGCTGAACAAAAGAGAGAGAAAAGAATTATGCAAAAGGAGAATAGACTTAGAGACCTCAGCGACTCCATTAAATACAGTAACATTCATATTATAGGAGTCTCAGAAGAAGAAGAGAGACAAAAGGGGGCAGAAATTTTATTTGAAGAATAATGGCTAAAAATTTCCCTAATCTGGGGGAAGGAAACAGATATCCAAATCCAGAAGGCACTGAGAACCCCCATCAAAATCAACAAAAGCAGGGGTGCCTGGGTGGCAGTCAGTTAAGTGTCTGACTCTTGGTTTTGGCTCAGGTTATGACCTCAGTGTCATGAGATCGAGCCATGCATCTGGCTCTGCACTCAGTGCAGAGTCTGCTTGAGATTCTCTCTCTCCTTCTCCCTCTGCCCCTCCCCCCGCTCGCTCACTCTCCTCTCTCTCTCTCTCTCTCTCAAACAAATAATCTTTTTTAAAAAATCAACAAAAGCAGATCCACACCAAAACATATTGTGATTAAATTTGCAAAATAAAGTGATAAAAAAAATCTTAAAAGCAGCAAGATAAAAGAAGTGAGTAACTTACAAGGGAAAACCCATAAGGCTAACAGAAAATTTTCAACAGAAATTTGGCAAGCCAGAAGGGAGTGGCATGATATATTCAAAGTGCTGAATGGGAAAAATCTGTGGCCAAGAATACTCTATCCAGCAAGGCTGTCACTGAGACTAGGAGAGAGAAACAGTTTCCCAGACGAACAAAACTAAAACTAAAGGAGTTTGTGACCACTAAACCAGCCTTGCAAGAAATATTAAAGGAGACCCTTTGAGTGGAAAAAAGAGACCGAAAGTGACAGTATAAAGGGAGGAAAAACAAAAGCAGGAAAAATGAATATTTCTGTAAAAAATCAGTCAAAGAACTCAAGAAAAAAAGGATATAAAATATAGTAACGTATACCTAAAACATAGGGAGAAGAGGAGAAAAGAATATGTTCAAATTTAAACAACTATCAACATAATATAGACTGCTATATGCAGAAGAGGCTATATACAAACCTGCTGGTAACCATATATCAAAAACCACTAATAAATATGCAAAGAATAAAGAGAAAGAAATCCAAACATATCACTGAGGAAAATCAGCAAAACATGAAAGAGAGAAAGACAATAAAGGATCAGAGAAAGTCTTCAGAAACAACCACAAAACAAGTAATAAAATAGCAATAAATACATATCTGTTATAACTTTGGATGTAAATGGACTAAATGCTCCAATCAAAAGTCATAAGGTATCAGAATGGGTTAAAAACAAAAAGATCCATCTATATGCTGCCTACAAAAGACTCATTTTAGACTTAAAGACACCTGCAGATTGAAAGTGAGGGGATGGAGAATCATGTATCCTGCAAATGGATGTCAAAAGAAAGCTGGAGTAGCAATACTTATATCACACAAAATGACTTTAAAAAACAAAGATTGTAACAAGAGACAAAGAAGGACACTACAATCTTAAAGGCGACAATCCAACAAGAAGATATAGCAATTGTAATTATGCACCCAACATAGGAGCACCCAAATACATAAAAACAGTTAATAACAATCAAAGGAAATAATCAATAATAATACAGTAACAGTAGGGGACTTTAACACCCCCACTTACATTAGTGGACAGATCATCTAAACAAAATCAACAAGGAAACAATGGCTTTGAATGACACACTGGAACAGATGGATTTAACAGATATATTCAGAACATCCCATCCGAAGACATCAAAATACACATTCCTTTCAAGTACACATGGAGCATTCTCTAGAATAGATCACATATTAGCCCACAAAATAGGCCTCAACAAATAGAAGAGGATTAAGTCATACCATGTACCTTTTCTGACCACAACACTATGAAACTAGAACTCAACCACAAGAAAAAATATGGAAAGACCACAAATACATGGAGGTTAAATAGCATGCTACTAAATAATGAATGGGTCCACCAGGAAATCGAAGAAATAAAAAGATGATACAAATGAAAATGAAAACAAAATAGTCCAAAACCTTTGGGATGCGGCAAAAGCGGTCCTAAGAGGGAAGTAAATAGCAATACAGGCCCAGCTCAAGAAGCAAG